TATATATATATATATATATATATGATTTCAATAAAAGGTTCTATTAGACAAATTAATTTATTGTGATTCTATATACCTGAAAATTTATCCTCAGATGCTTAAGAAACAAAAGGTGCCCTTATGGACACAGCTGGTAATCCTCTTTCATGAGCAACTGTGCCTATCAACTTGATTTTTTAATGTATTTTTCTTATGTTGTTATACATGTTGTGATGTTGTATTGTTTCAAAATAATATATTTATATAACAATATTAAATATTATTAACCTATTATTTAGATACCTTAGAGCAGTGATGGCAAACCTTTTTTTGGTTCGTGTGCCAAAAGCAGGGGAAGCGCAGGGGGGCATGTGTGGGATGCCATGCCCATAATGCTATGCGCATGACTACAATGTGTCCCCTCCCATTTTTGGTGTGCTTTCTTCGCCCTCGGAGGGCAAAAAACGACTCTACGAAGATCCCAGAAGTGACTTCTGATTGTCTGTAAAGTTGTGTTTTGCCCTCTGGAGCCTTCAGGGAAGCCTCCTGAATGCTCCTGAACACTCCGGAGGGCTAAAACTGGTCCTACGAGTAAACCAGAAATCTGTTTCTGAACTTCCAGTTTGCCCATAGGGCTGGTTTTTCACACTCCGGAGGCTTCCCTGAAGGGTGAAAAATGGCCTCAAAAGAAGGCTGAAGTCAGCTGGCCAGTGTGCGTATGCACGCTGGCCAGCTGACAGGGCAAGCCTCATGTGCTCTGACAAATGGCTCCATGTGCCACCTGTGGCACATGTGCCATAGGTTCATCATCACGGCCTTAGAGTATTGAGAAGAAAGAAAAAAGGAAAAAATATTCTATTGATGTTAGTTACGATTTATGCTACATTAATACAAGCATGGAATAATACATTCAAAATTGATATAATAGTAAAAAAAAAGAACTATCATCACAAGTTGTTGTTGTATAGTAGATGCTTCAATCTTAATCTGTTTACTTAATATTAAAGTCTCCATTGTATTGTTACACAAACTCTCGTTAGTAAAAGAAAAAAATAGATAAATGGAGCAAATTGAACAACAATTACAATACAAAAATGTGGAAAGAAAACAGAAAAATAAAGTATTAAAAATTGCAGTGTTTGCGACTCTTCCTTTTTGATACATTTTCTGATTCACAATATTTGTAGACATTTAAGTCATCTTAGAAATCAGACAGCATTTAATTATATTTACTATGATATATGATATTTTGTAGGTATGGGAACCATTTTGGCTTAAATTTAGTTAAAACTTCTATTGTGTACGTATATATAATTTTACACATATATCATTTTACCATTTCTGCACGTTCTACAAATTCCCAATCAGGTATTGCTTGGAATATGTCTTTTTTTCCAGTATTACCACATTTTTCAGAGTATAAAACGCACCTTTTTTCCTCAAAAAAGAGGCTGAAAATATGGGTGCATCTTATACATCAAATACAACATTTTTTGCCTCCTGAAGCCCCGCTCCCTTCACCAAAATGGCTGTGCATACCCTTATGGAGGCTTTCAGAGACCTCCTGGGAACTGGGGAGGGCAGAAATAAGCAAAAAATGGACCGTTTTCTGTCCCCCAGCTCCCAGCAGCACTCTCTAAGCCTCCAGGCTATGCATGCAATTTTTTTGACAAAAAAACGGGCCCATTTTTATGAAAAATGGGCCATTTTTTGCTTGTTTCTGCTCCCCAACCCTCCAAGAACACTCTGATAGCCCCCCCCCCAAGGCTATTCATGCCTTTTGTTTGAAGAAAAATGGGCCTGTTTTCACGAAAAACGACCCATTTTTGGGAGGTTTGCAGAGTGCAAAAACTTTTTTTTTTCCTTTTGGAAAGCTCTTTAACAGATTGATGAGAATTACATTGCTCAAGTGCTGTGCCAGCAGAAACAAAGTCTTAAAGTCCTGCAGATTATCAGCGATTTCCTTCTCCAACACATGGATAAATACCTGGAAACATCTACCTACCTATCTACTCTCACTCTCTCCCTATTTATTGTATTCCTCTATCTCTTTCTATTTCTCTCTCTCTATCCCTCTACCTACTTACCTACACACACACATTCTCTCCCTACCTATCTACTATATTTCTCTATTTCTTTCTATTTCTCTCTCCCTACCTACCTTCTGTATTTCTCTCTCTATCTCTCTCTATCCCTCTATCTACCCATCTACCTATCTACTCTCTCTCTCCCTACCTATCTACTGTATTTCTCTCTATCTCTTTCTATTTCTCTCTCTCCTTCCACCTACCTACCTACACACTCACTCTCTCTCCTTACCTATCTACTGTATTTCTCTATCTTTCTATTTCTATTTCTCTCTTCCTACCTACCTACTGTATTTCTCTTTCTATCCCTCTATCTACCCATCTACCTACCTACCTACTCTCTCTCTCTCCCTACCTATCTACTGTATTTCTCTCTATCTCTTTCTATTTCTCTCTCTCTACCTCTACTTACCTACCTACACACACTCTCTCCCTCCCTCCCTCCCTACTGTATTTCACTCTCTCGCTCTCTATCCCTCTCTCTCCCCCTACCTATCTACTCTCTCTCTCCCCACCTATCTACTGTATTTCTCTCTATCTCGATCTCTTTCTATTTCTCTCTCTATCCCTCTACCTACCTACATACTCCCTCCCTCCCTATTGTATTTCTCTCTCTCTCTCTCTCCCTTTATCTACCTACCTAACTACACTCTCTCTCTCCCTACCTACCTACTGTATTTCTCTCTCTTTCTTTCTCTCCCTCTCTCTCCCTTTATCTACCTACCTACTTTTTTTTTAAATTTGCCTCTTCAAAACCTTGGTGCATCTTGTACTCCGAAAAATACAGTAAGTGAAAATCATTGTTGTTACTATAAGCATTTGTCTAATTGAATCAATATTTCTTGTTGAATTTTATTGATTCAGAGATCATATAATCTCTGTATAAAAAGTTGTGATTTCATTTCAAATTTAGATTCCAAGATTTTCTGCGCTATACAATGTATGACTTCCCAGCACTTTTGAGGTTTTCCCCCACATGTCTACCAGATATGTCTACCAGCACTTCTGACCTTTACTTTTTGAGCCTTGCTGAGCATGTACCTGACTGATTCCATTTCCTGTCTTATTTGTCTGTTTGTGGTATAATAATCTATCTTGCTAATGTAGTGACACAAACAGTTGAAATTTCATTAGGCCAAAATTATAAAAATTAAAATAAATCAGAATATAATGAAATCTTAAAGCTTTCAGACTATGCATGGAACAAACAAAATTTTTGTGTTACTTAATGTCATTTGTATAATCATTTTCATAAGCATATAATTGATGTAACTGTTTAATATGCCAATATGCAATTGAAGCAAATCATAGATATGTGACTGACTGAATTTAACTGATATGTGTGTAATATGCATGCTTTATTCCCTCGCTCCTGCTATCTTCCTCTGTTACAGTTAAAGTATACTTTAGTATGTGCTCTTTATGTACAAAATACTCAATTTTGGTAGAAAATATTATGCAAAATATACTATGATAATACATTTACAAAGTTGTGACAACTAATCATTCAGAAAACTAACTGATATTAAAATTATTGTTACAAAAATATAATTTATTCTAAGCATGCTATGCTACTTATGCAGTTGCTACTTGAAACTCTGGGGGAGACCCAGAAAAATGGAAGAGAAGAGAACATTCAGATATTTAAAAATTATGAAAAAGTGAAAAATTAGTTGCCTTATTCCTTAAGATGCTGTGCAGCATGGTCCCATTTAAATAGATTAATCATAATTCAAAACAATTAGAATTTAGAATAAAAGAAGAGATTAATCTTTTGTATGTATACATATTTATTGATTTGATTTCCCATAGCAAACTTATGATACTTTTCTTTAGTGGCTCTGAATTTTCTCTGCATTTATGCCTTATGGGAGCAGAGTAATCACATACAGAAGGCCAAACAAGCCCTAGAAAGACATATTTGCCTGGTTGTTAAGTAGACCTCCAATGTAACAATCACAATGCACAGAAGTTTCTCGAGGCAAAGCAACAAGTAAATTTTCTGGGATAATATATGGGGTAATATTTAATAGCAGTTTAAATTCTTACTCTAATATGATAATTAGAACAATGCTGTCTGAAATTTTTTTCTTTTTTCTTTACATGGAACATCACAACCAGAATACATCAAGAACTGTAAATAACTCTCTTTTTTAAATTGCTATTAAACAGAAAAGTTAATGTGAAGATCTGGACGATACCTTGTTATATTTACCCTTCACTGACATTCAGATCACAGATACTGACTTAGGGGTATATGAGGTGATTCCAACATACCTGATATGTGGAGACAGGGGAAGCAGCAATGAATGGCGTGATAGATGTCTGTGGAATCATGCGGTTTGTAGCAATACTGTACGGTGAGGAATAAAATCTGCGAACAAAACAAAAAAAGGAAGAAAAAGAAAAAATAGGTAATGGACTGACATGGATTGCTTCATAAACCACTATCAACTGAAGATAAATGTATCTGTGTTCTCTATTGTAATTATTGTTAAGCTTGTGGAATATTACTTTGAAAAGAATTGTGGGATATAAATCAGATAAATTAACAAAATAAAGCAGTAAATGGGACTAATCGTCCATTTATATTTCTGCCTTTTCATTAGCAAAATGCTTTAAAAAAACACTGGGCTAGTTTTTGGACTATGATTAAGATATTGGGAGTGTTTCATTAAAAACTTGTTTTATTCAGATTTCTAACTAACTATGAAGTGAGAGACTAACCAAAATAAAGTTGAAATAAGATTCCCATCTTTATTTCATAGTAGCCTTGGAAATAGGCATTTTTCAGATTTGTCATAATATTTATGTTAATTTGGTCTATAAACCATATTGCATTGGTACACAGTCCCTTTCTAGAAAGGAAGAGAGGTCTGTTTGAAATATGAACATAAGAACTGTCTTCATGTATTTATAATCCATATTCAATGGATATAAGTAACAGGAATGACTGCTGTGGAATGATGAAGAGGAGGTTGTGAAAAAGAAAAACAATATTGCAACCACAACTGTGCAATATTAAGGCAATATTTTGTCCTAGTCTTATTATATCAGCCTTGCACCACAAGAAAAAAAAACAAGACCTAGCCTCTACTATGTTAAGGGATTTTTATTTCTGAAAACAGTATTTAACATGAGCCTATTAAGGAATATCCGTATTAAAAAAAATACTGGGAAACAGTTGTTCATAATAAAGTGTACACACACTTAAAAGATGTTCTCAAAGTTAATGTTAAAACTAATAAACATAATCAATGGTATTAACTATTCTGTTGCCTTTTTTGTTTTTCTTTTGTTAAATTTTGAGATGGTTAAAGAAAAAAGTCAATGTGAACACTGTACTACAGATGGTAAAAATGAGAAAATAGGAATGAAAACAGAGATATTTTGTCTTCCTTGATTTTCTAAATCTTAGAAAATCAATATCTGGGAATTGGGAGGAGAGATTTACTTCTTCTCCATAAAATTATAGTAACAATTAAGACCAGATGAAGCCTTAATTTCTAAGCCTGCAGTTACACATTTAACTCAGAACAGAACAGATGAGAGACAGATATATGCAGATATGATGAATGTTGGAATTTGGTAACAGGTGATAATTTGTTGACAAAATAACTTTGATGTTAATTACTTTGGGAACTTAAAGGAACAAAAAAAAATGTGTCACAAAATGAATACCATTATGATTTACTGACATACTAAATAATTACATGGGTTATTTATAATGACTTTATGACTTTATGACCATTGCACTGCTTAGATTAATTTAACTACTGATAATGTAACTATTTTTTTTAAGTGTCCTATGCCAGTGATGGCGAATGTTTTTCTGCTGAGGAGCCAAAAGGGAGCATGCACATGCAATAGCACGCATGTGCATGCCCACACCCATAATGCAATGCCCTCTCCCCAGGCATGTCCACACAATCCTCCCTGTGCTCCCCCTGTGCATGCTAAAAGGCTTCCCTGAAGCCTCCGAACTTCCGGTAGGTTTGTTGGACCATTTTTCGCCCTCCCCAGGCTTCAGCAAAGCCTCTGGGGCCTGTGGATGAGGAAAAACATGCCCAACAGGCCTACCGGAAGTTCAGAAACAAACTTCCGGTAGGCCCATGGGCCCATTTTTCACACACATGCCATAGGTTTGTCATCACGGTCCTATGCAATTCTGACAAACTCTATTCATAATTAATGCAACGGATTCAAATTTCCTAAAATAAAAACCATTAATTATTGAACACATTATAATAAATAAATAATATTAACCAGTTTAAGGATAATTAAAGCCATGGATTAACAAATTCAAAATGAAACTAAGCCAAATTCACTTTTAGTTTCCAAAATACAGTGGAGGCATTTTTAAAAAAAATATTGCAGCAGTGAATATTTTTCAGTGTAATAAAAATTGCATTTTATTCAAAAACTTGCATTCTAAAATGGTTCTGTTTTGCAATAATGCTGTTTTGCAATAATGTTGATGAAAGATCAATTTTTAAGATGAGGAATAAACTAAAATGAACTAATTATATAGATCTAGTGGAATCTAGAATAGACTTTTCTATTCTCTGGCACATCTTGCCACAAGAGGTAAGATCTCTTTATGCCTTTAGGAAAGTCCTTAAAACCTGGCTAGGCTGGCTGGCATGAGGTCCAGAAAGAAGCTGCTGGTTGGAGGTTGTTGATACATCTCCCTTCCATTTCTCAGTTTTTTAAAACTTTTTTAAACTTTTGTCATTTTAATTCACTTTTATATTTATAATTGCTGTGATATATTGTTATTATATAAGCATCTCAGCAATCCCTGAACTATGAAATGGCTGGCAAATAAATTTCATAAATAAATTAAAATACATATCTATTATATACGAGGCACGCAGAGGCCAAAAACGAACACATAGCGGCCGAAAATGGGACGTGCAAAGAACAAAATTGGCTGAAGGGTGGGGGCTAGCAGGTGGGCAGGGCTTTGGCAATATTCGCTCCATAAGACTCACATACATTTCCACCCACATGTGGGAGACAAAAAAAGTGCATCTTATGGAACAAAAAATACGGTAATCAATCACAAAGGTGAAGTAAAGATAGATTTCTGGTTTGTTTTTTCATATTCTCAAACTGCTGTAAAAGATTTTTGAAAAAATTCAACAAGAGATTAATTATTATATAAAGAAATAAATTACTATATACAATTTCTTTATTACATTCTCTCAGAAACACATACAAAGAGAGGGAGGGAGGGAGGAGGAGGAGGGGAAGGGAAACTAAGGCCTTTTCCTTCTTATTGTGCCTATTATAAGGTTTTTAGGGTGAAATTAAAAAGCTTCATATTCCATCCTTGTTTGAGTTTTTCTTAATGGGCCTTAAAACCAACTTTATTGTTTTTTCTTTATGTTTAATGTTATTTTCAAGCAATTAACTATTGTTACTGAATCCTCGCTTCCTCCTGGCTCTTTTAATGACTAGTTCAAAGGTCTTTTCAAAATACTTCTTACTTCCTAGGATAACAAATTGCAATACTTCCCTTCCCTGTAAGATTTTTGGAGCAGTCATTAAGCAAATGTAGTGGTCATAAATTTTTATGCTGTAAAGTGCACAGAGTAGCTGAATACAAGATAGGTGATAAATAAATTTCATAATAAAAACAAATAAACATCATCAATGCACTGATGATGTTTATTTTTATTATGAAATTTATTTACCATCTATCAATACATAGATGACATCATCTAATTTGGGTAATGAAATATAATCAAGAAAACAACCAAAATCAGAGAGCACCAAGGACCTCTCATTTCAACCCGGAAGTACAAATATGTGGCATTCCCCCTTGCGCTCTGTTTTTGGTCCCAGGAGGCTTCAGAGAGGCCTGCTAGGCCCAAAACGGACCACAAAGAATATGGCTCACTTCCCCAGCCTGTTTTTGGTGCCAAGAGGCTGCAGGAAAGCCTGCTAGACTCAAAATGGACTGCAGGGGAGGATTGCACATGTATGCACAGAGGAGTGAGGGAACACTGGGAGTCATGAACGTATGCGCAGGGGATGGTGCACACATACTGCATATGGATGTGGGCACACACGCATGCACTTTTGGCATTGAGGACAAAAAGGTTAGCCATCACTGGTGTTCACTAAGTTTAATGAGGAACAAAAACAAGTGATTTCCCTTTCTTATCCTGTCACTTGAACTGATTTCAAGATTTCAAAGACTGAATTGCCATTTGAATAAAATAATGGCTTAGGATGAGATTCTGTTCTTTTTTTAAAAAAGAAAGGCAAAAATCTGCTCATGTTATAGCAATAAGAAAAAGATGACAGATTAGGTGACAGATTAATTTAGACAGAAGAAATAGAGAAGGAGAGGAGAGGGAAAAGTAAAGGGAGAGTGAGGCAGGTAGATAATAAACATTTTATAAAGTGAAATGTTTTATTCCCAGGACATCAAATTTTCTATCCAAGAAGTCATGAAAACTCCTCTGTCTTAAATGAGGTTTGGCATCTAGCCAGCTTTTGCAGATCTGAAAAATTAAGCAATTATACTTTGATGTGGTTAAAGCACATCTGGGAATTCTAGGACTATAGGCTACATTAGACAGTTGATTTACAACCATTTTCTTATCATGCCAAGGTTATGCATGAATACTGTATGTCCCTATATGTCACCAGGAACCAAGTTCTCCTCAAATGCAATTTTACTATCACAGACGCCTCGAAAGATCTGGAGGCAATGTGGAAAATATCAAAGACCCACTGCTTCCTAAGTGTCTGACTAAGCATATTATATCCACTATCGCAATTCTATTTTTTAATTATTCCTTGTAATGAGGTTCCTATGGGAATGCTGATTAGGTACAGTAAATATTTATCAATAGAAGATGGAATTTATCAGTGAGATTACTTCCCTCCCTTTACTGGCACCATGATATCTTTTACAGCCAATTAATAGCAAAGGCCATAGAGATTGATAAATTAACAGCAACATTAATTGCTTCCCAGCTGGCATTCAGACTGACTATTTCCTTTGTATCCAGATCTTTGGAAATTTATTATTTCTTTGAACAGCAGCTAAAGCAGAACAGAAAGATCTATGATTGAGCTTAGTTGTCACTGAAGATATATGAAACAGGCATTTTTTCTGATATAGATTTTCTTTAATTACTACTGTATATGACTATGGTCAAAAGAGGGAAGAAAAGATGAAGTAAACTGACTAAATCAAATGTACACAATCAATCATACACCTCTTTCTTGTAAACCATCATTGCTTTTACCATTGTTCATATCAGGGGGTGGGTTGCTGCTGGTTTTACTACCAGTTATCAACCCGCCCACAACGCACATCTTGCTCGCTTCACTCGCTGTCTGTGTGTGTGTGCA